CCAGCCGCTCCCCCCCGCAGCTGCCCGTTTCCTAGAAGATGAACTGAAAGAGAGAGAGAGCCCAGGCATTCCTCCGGCTTCCGTGCCAGAAGCCACTTCCCAGATGCTGCCTCAGGGCCCCGGACAGCTCAGAGGAAGGGGCCGGTCTTGTCGGGCCGGCGTGACTCCGTGGCTCAGCGTCTACCTAGGAACCAGGAGGTCACGGTTCGATTCCCCGGTCAGGGCACAGGCCGGGCTGCGGGCTCCATCCCCAGTGGGGGGCAGCCAATCGATTCTCATCGTTGATGTTTCTCTCTCTCTCTGTCTCTCCTTTCTTCTCTGAAATCAATAAAAACACACTATTTTTAACCCTAACCGGTGTGGCTCAGTGGGTAGAGCGTCGGCCTGCGGACTGAAGGGTCCCAGGCTCGATTCCGGTCAAGGGGGTGCACCTTGGCTGCGGGCACATCCCCAGTAGGGGGTGTGCAGGAGGCAGCTGATCAATGTTTCTCTTTCATCGATGTTTCTAACTCTCTATCCCTCTCCCTTCCTTTCTGTAAAAAAAAATCATTAAAATATATATTTTTTAAAAACCACATATTTTAAAAAATAAAATGGAAGAGGGGCCAGCCTTCGCGTGGACACAGACAGACGAGTGGCTTTCAGTCCCGCGTTCACCCTGCACGTAAGGGACTCCCTGTGTGAGGCCCCCGCCGGGGTGCAGGGATTTGTGGGCGAGAAGGACAGGCCTCGCGGTGAAGGCCCGGGCGGAGGACAGACGCCCACGCCGGCATCCGGCCTGTGGGGGACACGCCCATTCCCGGTCCCAGCCACAGGAGGGAATACCCAGGCCCGGCCGGGGTCTGCGGGACCTGGGTCTGGCCACGCACCTGCGATCCGAGCCTTTCCTGGGACCGACCGCCGTCCCCGCCGTCAAACCCGGTGAAAACACAAAAAATGCAGATGCACATACAGACACACACACACACACACACACACACACACAAACACTTCCTCGGACAGTCAAAAGCAGACACACAGAAATATGTACCACATGCGCTCACCTATACACACAGGCACGTATGCACACTCCAGCCACACACACACACACACACACACACACACACACACAACACACGCAGAGATGGAGCCAGGCACAGCTGCCGCTCACACACCATCGGATGCAGGGACAGCTCCCACACACACAGGCCTCCAACAGACACACAGGCACACAGCGGGAGACACCGACACGTGGACACACGGACACGCACACACTTCCCGCCGAAGGAGTCGTCCAGACCGATGCCCGCCGAGGCTCCTGCTCCCACTCGGCCGCGACCTTGCCCGCAGCCCCCGGAGACAGCCCGGCTCTGGCAGCCCGGCCCCGGGCTGGCCGGGGAAAGTGACAGCAATCAGGGCCGTTACCCAACACGCCCGTCCGCCGGGCCCGGGGTCAGGGAGCAGCGGCCAGGCCTCGCGTGCCTGCCCACGCACGCGTTGCCACCGGCAGCAGACACCGGCCACCCACGCAGACAGCTGGGATTGCGAGGGAGCTTGCAAAACCGGCCCGTCCCTCAGGGTTCAGCGAGAGGGCCCCGGCCCCGGGGGGGGGGAAACTCCCCGGGTTCCTGCTTCTGTGCCTTCCGTTCTGCCGGGCCCTGCTGTGTGGCCTGGGCAGGTCGCTTTGCCTCTCTGTGCTTCACCCCCACCCTGGGCTAAAGAGGATAAAGAGCATGTGTTGGGCTGAAACCGGTCTGGCTCAATGGATAGAGCGTCGGCCTGCGGACTGAAAGGTCCTGGGTTCGATTCCGGTCAAGGGCATGTACCTCGGTAGTGGGTGTGCAAGAGGCAGCTGGTCGATGATTCTCTCTCTCATGGATGTTTCTAACTCTCTATCTCTCTCTCTTCCTCCCTGTGAAAAATCAATAAAATATATTATTAAAAAAAAAAAAAGAGCATGTGTTGAATCCACGAATGGATGGAGTCCCCCATGTGGGGACGGGGAAGCAGCAGCCCCATGCTCAGTCATCGAGGTGCAGACTGCCCCCCCCCTCCGTCCCCCCCCCCCCCAAGGGGACCCCAGGGCCGGGGGAGCAGGAACAAGGGGTGCGGCTCAGTCTCCCCTCTACGCAGAGCCAAGAACCCAGCGGTGGAGCCACCACACAGCCCTGCCTGGCGGGGGAGGGGGTGAGGCCTGGAAACCCCGCGTTTCTGCTTAAACACCTTCGAGGAGGACGTACGGGGTCACTTCCTCTGTGCGGGCGTGACCATCAGAGGAGAGGGTGGGGATGGGCCGCGGCTCTCCCTGCTGGGGCTTCCTCATCTCCGTCCCCGCCCACAGGAGCCCCCGGCCCCGGCTCACATCCTCCCGGCTGAGGCCGGACACAGGCTGGCGGCCGGCTGGACGCCAGGCACCTTCCCACTCCCCGGGGCCCGCCCAGGCCCAGGGGCCACGCTTATGGCGACCCGCACGGACGCCACAGCCTGGGCAACGACCCTCGGCCGGGCGGGCGGGGCTGATGGGCAGGGGCACCGGGGCTCCGGGAGCTGGGAGGACAGGGGCGTGGGCGACATGCCAGCAAGCCCCCCCAAACCCGATCATGAATGACCCCAACTGAGCCCACAGTCTCACTGCTTTGCCCTAAAACCCTCCAGGGCCCGGGGTGGGACAAGGACGGGGTTCCGTGAGCCCCCTCCTCAGCCCGGGACAACTCCAGCCTCTGTGATGACAACATCCGGGCATCAGCAGTGGGTGAGGCCCAGGGTCAGACCCCTGGGAAGTGCCCCTTCTCAGCCAAGTGTCCCCGGGGACCTCCGGGGCCCGTACGTCTGCCCCCGGGGGTCTCGGTCTCCCAGGGCAGATGCTGGCCCAGAGCTGGCGCCGTGACCCGCAAGGACACCCTGGGAGCTGAGAACCACCCAGACACCCGTGTGGAGACACACGTGGGCAGGCCGACCTGAAGGCCCGGGTCCGAGGCAGGCCAGCCCGGCGGGCAGCTCCAGGAACTAAGCGACATTGGGGTCTAGGCACTGGGGATGACAGAAACGCTGAGACCGAGCAGGGCCTCGGGGGGACAGACAGACAGGCGGAGGGACCCCGGAGCTGACTGCAGGGCCAGCAGCCCTCCGGCTGCACGTGAAGGAGCCCTGGTCGTTCAGCCCAGGGCGTCGCTGGAGCCCGGCAAGGTCTCAGACGGGCCCTACAAGGAGAAATGGAACCCCCCTCCCCCACGAAAGACAAACCATAAAGAGACGCCCCCAAGCCAGGGCCACGGGGCACAGGGTCCTGAAGGCGCCGACCCCTGTCTCCATGCACTTGGGGAAACCGAGGCCCAGGGCAAATGCCTGGCCCTGGGCCCCTGGCTGCTCACTCACCAGGCCTGGCTGCGTCTCAGCAACTCTGGTCTGAAGGCCCCCAGGCCCCCAGGCCCCCAGGGCCAGGGCGGGCGCACTGCCAGGGGCCTGGCCCCCGTTCTGACTTTTCTGGGGAGCCACCGCAAGCGGAGTACGGCGAAGTCACACCCTTCTTCCCTTTCCTGCGAGGGGCGGGCCTGGGCTGAGGGCACCTGATAACCTCCCGCAGCATCTGAGGGGCCCCAGCAGGCCCCGGTGGAAGCCCGGCTCCCCGCTGGGGGAGGCGGCCCCTCTGCGACAGGAAACTCGGGGCCAGATGTGCTGACGGAGCCTCTGGTCCAGGCGTGTAGCCATCGAGAGCAGAGAGGGCCCTGGCTGGTGAGGCTCAGTGGATAGCGCGTGGACCTGTGGACCGAGGGGGTTCCAGGTTCGATGCCGGGCAAGGACACGTGCCCAGATTGCGGGCCTGATCGCCAGTTGAGGGCATGCAGGAGGCAGCCGATCGTTGATTCTCTTGCATCATTGATGTTTCTCTCTCTCTCCCTTCTCTTGAAACCAATAAAGAGAGACATGCTTTTAAAATATATATATTTTATTGACTTTTGAGAGGGATAGAGAGTCAGAAACATCGATGAGAGAGAAACATCCATCAGCTGCCTCCTGCACACTCCCCTACTGGGGATGTGCCCGCAACCAAGGGACATGCCCTTGACGGGAATCGAACCTGGGACCCTTGAGTCCACAGGCCGACGCTCTATCCACTGAGCTAAACCAGTTAGGGCGAGATAGACATATATATTTTTAAAAAAGAACAGAGTGGGCTCCAGATGGCCCTCCAGGCATCCTGCCCTCCTGGGGACAGCCCCCTCCCCCCTTGGTGCCAGGACAGCCCTGGTGGCAGGAACTGACTGGTCTCCTGGCCACAGGGACTCCTGGGAAAGACAGACAGACAGACAAGCAGGCAGCGGCCTGGAGAAAAGGGGCCCCTGGGCCGTCCATGGGGTGTCGCCACGGGCCAGCCCTGCCCGCGGTGGAAGGAACGCTGGGGGGTCCAAGGCAGGAGGCCTCGGAGTGTCCTCCGTGTCCAGGACCTTCCGGGAGCAGCAGGGAATGAAGGAGGCGGCCAGACTTCGGGGCCAGGCGGTGACCTTGGCTAAGTCACCGCCTCCTGGGGCTCGGGCGCTGCAGCCACATGGGATGGCACACGGGGACCCAGCACCCAGGCGGGGCCCGAGGAGCAGCCGAGCAGCTGTGCCCGAGGCTCAGACAACCCCAAAGACCACAGCCCGTCCGGACAGCACCAGCCCTTTATTAACAAGTTGGTAAAAAAATAATAATAATAATAAAGAGCGGAGAGACGTAAAAACACTTTTCTCGGAGGCCCCCGGAGGGGGAGGCACTGGCGGAGCCCACCCGGTCGGGAAGGCAGCCCCACCGGACGCAGAGCGAGGCCGGGGCCCTGTCCGGGGGCCGCCGCCCAGGTGTGCAAGGGGGTGGTGCAGCCTCAGGCAGGGAATGTGCAAACGCCGAGGCTGGGGGGGTGATGGGCGGAGGGCTCCCGGGGGGGGGGGGGGGGGGGGGGGGGGGGGGGGGAGTGATGGGTGGAGGGCTCCCGGGGGGGGGGGGGGGGGGGGGTGATGGGGGGAGGGCTCCCGGGGGGGAGGGCCAGAGCACCGCGTTCCGTGTGGGCGGGGGCCGGCGCCTGCACGCAGCTTATACGGAGAGGGGAGGGCCCCTGCGTGAGGGGGCGGGAGAGGGAGCGGGCTCACCCCAGGGCTGGGGGCACAGCTTAGGGGAGTCCCTGGGGGCCGGGGGGGCGAGCGGGAGGCCGCGGTCCCGCCCTGGGCCTCAGGAGCCCAGGCCCTCCTGCCGCCGCTGGAGGAGGCCGATGACGCTGCCGATGCCGTCCTCGGGCACCTGCGGGCGGGCGGGCGGGGAGGCAGGGTCAGGGCCCCCTCCTGGGCCTCGGATCCCTCGGGAGCCCCGGCCCCACCCCGCGGCGCTCACCAGCGCGTGGTCGAAGTTGAAGGTGCTGATGTAGTAGGCGGAGATGTCGGCCTCGGCCAGGGGGCCCGCGATCTGGGCCACGATCCCGCACTCATCTGCGGGCGGAGAGGGGGTCCGTGGGGATCACCCCGGCCGCCCCGCGGCCCCCCCCCCCCCCCAGCCCCCGGCACCGGGCGCGGCCTCACCGAAGCCCAGCGGCTGCCCCCCGATGCGCACCATCCTCCACAGCTCCCCCGAGGAGCTGGTCAGCAGCAGGTCACTGGGGAACCTGGGAGGCGGGAGCGACTGGTGACCCCAGAGCGTCCCTCCTCCTCCTCCTCCTCCCTCCTTCCTCCCCCTCCTCCTCTGCCTCCTCCTTCTCCTCCGCCTCCGCCTCCCCCTCCTCCTCCTCCTCCTCCTCCCCCTCCTCTGCCTCCTCCTCCGCCTCCTTCCTCCTCTGCCTCCTTCTCTGCCTCCTCCTCCTCCCTCCTCCTCCTCCTCCTCCTCCCCTTCCGCCTCCTCCCCCTCCGCCCCCTCCCCCTCCTCCTCCTTCTCCTTCCTCCCGGGCGGGCTCAGCCGGGGGCCACGTACTTTTTCTGCGTCTCTGCGTCCATGACGATGGAGATGTAGCCCTCGATGAGGGAGAAGGCGAAGAACGTGATGGAGCAGGGCCCGGGATCGCCAGGGGCTGCCTCCTTGGGGGCGCTGGGGAGGGGGACAGGGGGCTCGGGGACTCTGCTGGGTGCGAGACCCCTGGGCACCTTCCCCCCCTCCCCCCCGCCTCTGGGCCACTTTCCTTCCCTGTCCTAGGACCTCGATCTTCTTTTTTTTTTTAATTATTAATATTTTATTGATTTTTACAGAGAGGAAGAGAGAGGGACAGAGAGTTAGAAACATCAATGAGAGAGAGTCATCAATTAGCTGCCTCCTACACACCCCCTACTGGGGATGTGCCTGCAACCAAGGTACATGCCCTTGACCGGAATCGAACCCTGGACCCTTCAGTCCGCTACAGGCTGACCCTCTATCCACTGAGCCACACCGGTTTCAGCAGGACCCCGATCTCCTGATGGTGCCAGTGGGGGTGGGGCTGGGGGAGGACGCGAACTCTGTCTGTTCCGAAGGCTCCGCCCACTCCCCAGGAGAGGGCTCCAGCGGAAGCATTGGGACCTGCCCCAAACACCAGTGAAGGGCACGGAGGGGCAGGTGGCGGAGGGGCAGGGCAGGGCCTGGGCGCGGGAGGCCCACCTGTGTGAGTAGAAGAGGACGTCGATGAGGGTGGTGGCGATGGCCGGCAGTGTCTCGGGGTCCAGCGTGAGGACACAGAAGCGGTTCTGCGGGCTCTGGACAGGATGCACCGTGGGGTTGGGCCCTGCTGGGGGCGGGAACCAGGAGGTGGAGAGAGTGAAAGCAGGACCGTGGGCTGGAGCGCCCCCTGGTGGCTGGCCTGGGTGGCGTGCAGCATCCTGTCCCACAGACACCCGTCTGCCTTGGCTTCCCCGGCCCCGGGGCCCGCATCTCGCAAGCCAGTCCGTCCGCACACAAGCAGTGGGCCTCCGTGGGAAGGGGAACCCCACCCCGTCCCCCACCCCCAGGTCTGGGTGCCGGAGGGCCTCACCGTGCTGAGCCCGCGGGAAGCCGTTGCTGGCATCGTCCCTGGCCACGGGCACCGGCTCGCCGCCCACCTCGCGGTAGATGTCGAACTCCTGTGCCAGCGTGTGGATCACCACGGACAGGTCCTGCTCCCGCACCTGGCCGCGGGCAGACGGGTCGCACGCGGGTCCCGGCGGCCACACCCAGCCTCGCCGAGCTGCGCGTGTGGGCGCCCCCGCGGGCAGCTCACCAGGATGAAGTCCGTCTGGTAGGTGGACAGCATCAGCACGGACACGTGGTGCTGGGCCAGCGGGGCGATGACGGAGCGGGCGATCTTGGTGACGCCGGCGGCCTGCACGGCGGCGCCGCTGGGGGACGACACGTTCAGCACCAGCCACGTGGCCTCGGCCACCTGCAGGAACTCCGAGGCGGGCAGCTCTGCGGGCAGAGGGCACGGGACCCGGTCAGGGCCTGCGGGCCCGGCCCCTCCTCCCCCCACCCCCACCCCCACCCCCCGCCTGTGCCTTGGCCTCGCCGTGTACGTGCTGCGGATCCTGGTGCAAAGCGGTTTACCTGCTCTGAGCCTCAGTTTGCTCATCTGTAAAAGGGGATGATGGTGCGTACTTGGTGACGGTGCTCTATGGGTTATGGGGGGGGAGGGAGTTGTACCGTGGGGCGCCAGGAGGGGGCGCCAGGAGACCAGGATGGCTGAGGGATGATGCCCTTCCCTCTCCAGCGGGCCCAAAGGTGGTTGCAGCACCAACAGGGAAACTAAGGCCTGCAGCCGAGCAGTGGGAGATGGGTCAAGCCCCATTTGGCTGGCCTGAGCTCCAGAGGCCAGGCAGTGCCCGGCCTGGCGCCCAGTCCAGACTAAGAGCCGGGGCCAGGGCGGCTTGCTATCATTGCCCAAGCACAGCGAGGCGGTCCCTTTCCCCCACTCCCCACAGGCCCCCAGGACCCTGCCCTGGGCCGGGTGCCTGCTCCCTGCCTGGATCCAGGCCCTCCCCGGCCCGCAGACTCCGGAGTTCCCAGGGAGTCCGGGAGGGCACGGATGGCCAGCCCCGGGGAGAGAAGTCCAGGCGGAAATAACGGCCGGGGTGAGGAGTGGGGGGGGGGGGAGTGGAGCAGCCACAGGAACCCCCCGAATCTTGCCAGTAAGCCTCACGGAGGCCCCGCGGCCAGGCTGACGCCGCTAAGCGCCCTTCGCACGCAGCAGCCTGTGTGCAAAACCCTCACGGGACCCCGTTAGACCAGGACCGTTAACTAACTGCACCCCTTTGAAATAAGAGGAAACGAACAGCTCGGGCGGCGAGGGGAAATGACTTGCTCAAGGGCACACAGCCAGTGCGCGGCGGAGTCCGAGCTGACGCCAGATTGCCTCTGGCTGCAAAGCCTGGGCTCTGAGCCACTGGACCCTGACATTGTCCCTGGACCCCGACATCGAGTGAGAACCCCGCCAGGAGGGAAGCACGGCCGCCCACCTTTGAAACCTGGCCCAGCCCACCTTTGAAGCCCTCCTCGTCCACCATGAGCGTGTAGTCCTCCGGCGTCTCCGTGAGGCTGAAGAACTTGCACCTGGGTGGGGGCGGGAGGCACCTTCAGCCCGGGCTGGGAGGAGGGGGCTGCAGACCGCTCCACCCGCCCCTGAAACCCCTTACCAGGCGCCTCCCTGTCCCTTCCCAAGCCTCAGTTTCCTCCCAGTGGGGGGGAATGGGCCCCATCTCGGGGATCGCGGGCTGTTCCCCGCCCCCCACCTCCGGAGGAGCCCCCGCCCCGCCCCTCCGTTCCCGGGGGGGGGGGGGGGGGGGGGGGGGGAGGAGAGGCTGACCCGCACGCGCGTCCTCAGCCCCCGGGGCGTCGGACCTGGAATCGCCCGGACTTGCCCCTCTGCCCCGACGGGAGGCGCCGGGAGAAGCTCCCGGCAGCCCCGGGAAGGGACGGGCACCCGCATGCGATTCCAGCGGAGTTACAGGAGTTACGCATCGCCCACCGCAGGCTGTTGGCGCTGCACCGGCCCGGATAGGCGGCGGTCCGGGGAGGGTGCAGCCAGGCCGGATGGCGGCCGCGGTGGGGGAGGAGGTAGAGGGATGGGCCCTCCCCGCCCGGCCCCGCCGGCCCCGCGGCCACTCTACCCTCCCGACCCCGTGCCCGTCCCGGGGCGCTGGTGGAGCCCACCCTCCTCTGCGGCCCCGAACCCGCGCGCGCACCGGCTCCGGCGGGGCAGGAAGAGCAGCTTGATGAGCGGGTGGGTGTAGAGCCAGAGGCCGGAGCGGGCGAGGCTCAGCACCCGCACGCGGTGCTCCAGGATGTGCAGCTCCATCGCGGTCCCCCGCGCGGACCCGAGCCCTCCGCGGCCAGACTCCGGCCACGCCGAGGGCCGGGGGGCGGGCCCGGGGGCTTAAAGGAGCCGCCGCTCACGCCAGTCCGCGCCAGCCACCAGGCCTCGGACCCGCCCAGCCCCGCGCAGCGCCCCGCCCCTCCGGCCCCGCCCTGCGATGCGCTCGGCCTATCAGAAGAGGCCACGCCCCTTATGCCACCAGAGCCCCGCCCCCGTCCCGTTAGCATTGGCTCAGGGATCGCCAGCTGGCCCCGCCCCACCGTCCTTCAGGCCCCGCCCAGACCGCGCCTCTCCCCGGAGCTCCACCCTTTCTGCAAGATGCGGGTGGATCCTGGGTGGGAAGCTTGCAGGAAACGTGGAGTTCTTTCTGTCCTTCGGGCCCTCATGCGGGTCTTATGGTTGAGGTCATTGAGGCGCTGCCTCCACAACCCTGAAGCGTGGAGGGGTAGGGGTCCACTCTGCAGCCCTAGGATTCTCTCTCCCAACGAAGTATTCTTCCTCCTTCCTCTGGTGGGATCCGCCTCCCCACCAGTCACAGAGAGCGTAAGGGCCCCATCCACCCCTGCCACACTGCTGGGGAGGGTGCTGAAGGCAGCCGGGGGTAAGGAGGCCCCTCAGGACTGAGGCCAGCGATGCCCAAGGCTCGGACTTCAGAGGACAGGCCCACGCATTGGGCTCCCTGGGCAGTGTTCTCAGACCCGAGGCTTGAGCCTTGCTGAGCCTCCCAAAGCCAGCAGCTATTGGACGAAACCCTGTGGCCTGAGCATATCGAAACTTGCTTTGTGCCCACGGAGGCCCCCAGCACTGGCAGATGCCCCAGATCTGAGACTTGTTAGGACAAACGTGGGCTCACGTTGACATCAGGACTGGGTTCTGCTCAGGCCTCCTGGGGTCTAAGAAGACCCCCCAAGGCTGCGCAGGCAGCAGCCCACCCAAGCTGGCCCAGTAGCAGGACTAAGCGTGCTCTGGGGGCGGGGAGAGGGGCCTTGTCTGGCTCTAGCATCTTCAGGCCTCAGATGTGAGGCTTTGAACCAAGCAGGTTAAAGCAGGCCTACACAGGCCTCCTGCCTGCCTGGGAGCCTCCACTGCGGGCGGGTGGAGGCGGCGCAGTGCCTTCCCTCCCCGGACTCCCTGGCTCAGTGGGTTCCTGTGGAACACTGTGCAGCCACCACATCCTGGCCTGCTCCCTAGAGGGTCAGGGGGAGGGGACCGTCCTCAAAGGCTGAAGCCCTCTTCTCCCCAATGGTGCAGCACGGGTGGGAAAAGCACAGGTGTGAGGGCTGGGAAGCAGGAAGTGATGACCTGCCCTGACAGGCCCAGGTGACCCTTGACCTCCCAGGCCTCAGTATACCCAGCTGTACCAGAACAAGATGTTCCGGACCAAAGCCCCGAGGTGCCTGAAAGCTCCCAGGGAGGCTGCACTCCTCCCTCGCGCGCCCGCTCCCTCCGAGGCCCAGCCTCGCCTGGTGGCCTGCCAAGAACAACCGCTATTGTTTGACTGGAAAAGCTGCTTCCTCAGCAGAAGGGGGGCCTCTCCCAGGGACGCCCTGTCCGTAACCTCAGCAGTCACCAGGCTGTGACCGCAGAGCCGGCCTGGCCCTCCATGGCCAGGAGGGGTAGCTGAGGGGCTCCGGGTGCAAGCTGGGACCAGCTCACCTCTCACTCGGCTCTCTGTTGCACCTGTCAAATGGAGATAACAGAGCCCACCTGATGATCAGCTGGTGACGCAACCAACCCAGCGTGGACCATGCTAAGTGCTCAGTAAGCGACAGGTGGCCTTTTATCAAAGACCCAGCCTTCTCCCCTCCTCCCCATGGAAAGCTGGCTGTAAGTGTAAGGGCAGTCATGGTCTCCCACCCATGGTGCCAGCACCCAGCCCGGAACGAGCACTCAACCTTTCTCAGTTGGTTAGAGCGGTGGCCCAATACACCAAGATTACGGTGTCCATCCCCAGTTGGGGCACACACAAGAACCAACCAATTAATGCATACATAAGTGGAACAACAAAATACTTCTCTCCCCCAAATCAATTAAAAAAAAAAAAAAAGAATCTTATTCAGGTCCAAAGTAGCATCCAGGCCAGGCCTTAGGGAGAATACTCCAAAAGGATCGATCTTAGGGATCCCACCCCATCCGTGATGAGCAGGAATCAAGGCCTGGGGAATATGCCCACTCTGCCTTAGCACTGGGCTCCAGCCCTGGTGACTCCCAGATGGTGGACAAGGGCTGAGGGATGGAGTAAGGGAAAGGGGGACCAGGAAGGGGGCTGGCCCTGGACTCGGCATCCCCTCTGATAAGGTACTCCTCAGAGAGCTCTGGTGCCGAGGCCAGGATGAGGGCTCTGGAGGAAGTGGGAGAGATGCTGAGCACCAGGGGTGGTGGCACCCCCTTGCCCAGCGCTTAGCTGCACACCAGCTCTCTATACAAACCTGTTTATTTCTGTACAAAACCATGTTTCTATTTTACACAGAGAGTCCCCCACCCTGCACCCACCCTCTCCCCTCATCAGTGCCCTAGCCCTGGGAGCATGCCCCCAGAAGAGGCCCGAGTGAGGCCCTCACTTCCGCCTGCCCCAGCGGGGTCCGCCCGAGCTCCACTCTGGAGAAAATAAATAAGGAGGCTCAGGCAGAACCTGCCCTGGGCCAGCCAGTCTCTGCACCCAGTGGCCAGCAGCCGGACCCTCAGAGGGGGGCAGTCTGGAATGTGTCAGTCCGTGAACCACGTAGGTGTGTGGAGACCCCGCCCTGGAGGCCTGAGATGCCAGGGTTACAAGTAGGTGTCCTCACTCTCCTGGGACACCAGACTCTCCTGGGAGCAGTGGTGGGCTGACACCGGGGGAGCTGAGTCCTGAGGGGCTGGGTCCTTCGGGGGCACTTCCTGCGGAGGACATGCATCTCCGCCAGCAATCGCCACCTTGGCTTGCCCTGGCGTTGGGGTCTTGTCCAGCTGACCACCCGCCTTCTGCTGCCTCTGCTGCTCCTTCGGAACATGCTTGGGCGGCTTGGGCTTGCTTTTGGAGCCAGGGAGCGGGGCGTCCGGGGGCAGACGGATGGACGGTGATGGCTGCAGGGTGGGCCGGCCTGGTTCTGCCTCCAGGATGGCCTTGGCACCGTGCAGTCTGGGTGGCGAGCAGCACTGCAGTTCACCGCGCGTCTCCTGCCAGCGCCGCAGCTGGATGAGGTGCTCACGCTCAATCTGGCGCTCCGTCACTGGCAACTCGATCACCTGCGGGAGCAGTGACAGGCAGGTGGGCACCAGGAAGAACTTAGAGTCCCCCAGTCCTGGTCTCTAAGGCTGACCATAGGAAGAATGAAGGTCTGGCCCCTGTGGTGGTCACAAGTCCCCTAGCGGTGGTGAGCCAGGCACCCGAGACCCGCTGCCCTCCCTCATGACTCCACTCGCCTAATTATGTGTCAGCTAATTACAGCTCCTGAGAGAGAATCCACAAAAGAAAGAAAACGGGAAATTAAAGCCAAGTTGTGGGTGTGGTGCCAGAGGAAGAGAGGTGACGGGCTCAGCTCTCCTCATCCCCGAGAGGTCCAGGACGGAAGGCCCCAGACATAGGCCTCCCCGTGCCTCTTCTCATTCAGATAGGATGGCATCCACCACCCCATGCTGACTGCTGGGCACTGAGCTTGGCACCATGACCCACCCTCGGGGGCAGGGGACTACACCCTCCAAGGGGTGAGGGGAAGGTGTGGCCCGCACCTCCTGGACCAGGAAGGCCTCCTGCATGATCTTGGGGCTGAGGCTTCGCAGCCGCTCGATGGTCTCGTACTGGCCCTGGCAGGCCTTGAGCTTCTCCGGGGATCCCAGCGCGTGCCTCAGCAGCACCAGGCCCACCCGGAAGATGATCTTGACTCCTGTACGGGGGAGCAGGCAGTGAGTGCAAGAGGGCCGTCAGGGAGTTCCTGAAAATAGAGATCCCCTGTGAGCTGCACTCCAGAGCTCAGGCTGGTACCTTCGCAGAAGAACATGTCCCAGACGCGCAGCACAGAGCTCCAGGGCAGGGTGCGGGCGAAGGCACACATGAACCACTCTGTCATGTAGAGCAGGGGGTCGATCTTCTGCCGGCTGAGGTGCTTATGGGCCACAGGCGACACCTTCTGCAGCAGCGAGAAGAGGATCTCCCCATCCAGCTGGATTGCCTCCTGCGGGAACAGTGAGACCGTGACCATGGACCAGCAGCCAGGGCAGGACTACACCCAGGCCCCAGACCAGGCGAGCATTCATTCATTCCTCAGGTGGGTTCTGGGATACAATGAGCCAACAGCCAGCCAGTCCCCCTTGTGAGCATGTAGTGAAGACATGAATCACAGGAGCAAACAGACGAGGGGAGTGGGAGGGGACTGAGTGCCTAGAACATGGCAGGAACAGGAACCCTGGGTAAGCATGTGCCAGAGTCCCACTTTTAAGGGTCCAGGAAAGCTCCCTGAGGGCAGAAAGGGGGCGTTATCAGAAGGAGGCAGGGACGGAAAGGGACAGAGGTTTAAGCCTGTGCCAAGGTCAAGGCAGGGAGGCACATGGCGCACTGGAGTGGCCAGACAGCTGAAGGCTGAGATGGAAACAAGTGTGGAGCCGATGGTGCTGGAGCCTGGGAGACCTGGCCCTTGCAGGCCTGCAGACTTAGCTTGAAAGCAACAGAAGGCTGAGAAGGTTTCAAACAGGGGCAGGAGTGCCTGCGGAGAGAGAGGCTTGGGGACAGGGCCTGGGCCCAGCAAGCACTCACCAGTTTCTCGCTGTAGTAGCCGGGCAGGTACTTCTCACAGATCTGCACCAGGCACCAGAATGCTTGCTGTGGGTGAGAGAGACATAAGGCCTTGCTGCTGGGTGCTCCCTGCCCCCCGCTGCCTGCCGGGGCCGGTGGTACCTCAGCAGGCATGTGCATGAGCAGGACAGCGGCGATGGGGGCCTGGGCCTGGCAGTAGCCCTCCTCAGGTCGGTACAGCGTGTAGGCCTTCAGCACGCGGAACAGGTCCTGCTGACTGTAGAAATGCCAAGCATTGCAGGAATGACAGCTGTGACTCTGACCCCCACTGCCCTCATCCGGGCCGCACTAGACCAGACCTGTCTCAGAATTTGTACTTCTCTGGAGCGGGGACGTGGCCTGGTTG